ATCACGCCTTTGATAATTACCGGGTTGTTGCCAACATTTTGAACAGATGAAGTAAATTTCAAAACAAACTGCCAGACCAATTGTAACGACTTATCAACATCTGACTGCAGTTCTTCGTGTAATCAAGGGGTGAAAGGGGTGTAAATAACTAATTGTATGAGGTGTCCAATATGGCAACCAAGGGCAAAAACATTTTTATGCAAATTAGCTTTTGTCGAAAATTTGAGTTTTCTCGGCGATATCTACGTGAATTTGAACCAAATTGTTATCCGCAAGACTCAGAATACGACTGTGACAGCCACTGAAACGCAATTAAAGGCAAATGAACACGTCAAGCAAAAAAGACTTTTTCAAGTCATGGCGTAAAATGGAGGCACATACCATTTTGACTCTTGAGGGGAATGGAAATCAGTTGATTTGAGGGTGTCACAATAAGCAAGGGAGTAAATCGTTTTTATGCTACGAAAAACTGCAGACCTTGAACGTACTTTTTGGACTTTAGTACAACATCATTTTTGTTTGATTACCTAACGTTTTTAGGTCCATTTACAGAGCACATACCTAAGTGGCCGTCCCTCAGCAAATAATGAAGCAAAGGCATTTTCGATGTCGTAATCGCGAAACTCTCCCTTTTTACGCAAACTGGGAAGTTCGAATTACTAAACGAAGAACAGGACGACGAAGATGAAATATCCAAGAACCAACACATACCAAAAATTATATCTCAAAAGTGAATATTTGCGGTGTATTTTAAGTCTAACCGGACCGGGAGTGTCAATTTCTTAGTACTCTAGATATCCAAACATATTTTAGGTAGTAATGATGCCACTGTCACAATTTCTTTTTTTGAAACTATCATTCAACATTTAAACTTTAAAATATACATGCAACATAGAGACGAATTCTGTGTTCACCTTTCTTTGTCATAGTCACGCCTTAGTGACAACATCCCTTTCTAGCTCCATGAAACAACATATAACACTGTCTATAGTCTGTGGTGAATGAACAAACACTGGTATGACAGAATAAGGTTTCAGTTATGAACCATGTCAGCCCATTAAAAGCAGCAACTCTTATTGAAAAAAAGACTGAGAAAAGCTTGAAAACTAAATACTGTGGAATACTTTATTTTTGCTGGAATTAATTTTCGCTGAAAAGACTTTGGGCGTTCTGTATGGAATTTATTTTCACTGATTTTTGATGAGTTTAATGGGAAATATAGAAAAAAAGTATATTCTCTGGATTTTATTTTCACGGAATCATCCCTTCAGCGAAAATAGCGAAAATAAATTCCAAGCGAAAATAATATATTCTACAGTACACAATTGTCAGATTACACAGGATGGTCAACAAATCAGTATGCAAATTAACTTTGTTTTCAGTCCATGGTGTGTAAATGTACAGAGGATGTGATTACCCATAGCTGAGTTCATAAAAATAAACCGAAACGCACCAAAAGCATCGTGCACAGTAAATTATGACCAACAATATAGAAAGTATACAATATAATGTTTAATATTCTGATGAAATTTTTCGAAAAATGTTTTTTTTCCTCCTTTTTCCCCTCTCAATACCTTAACCTCAAGTATTTTTTACCGAGTTTTACTTCTCATAGAGCAACTACAGTAATATAAGACACAAATTATGTTATGTGCCATCCAAATTTACGCTTGCCTCAGCATTATTTTAGTCGGGGAAATATGTTCTCTCATACAAGTGCAGTTTATGTTGGGCCATATGAAGTGTGTGTTTTGTATCTGTGGAAGATCTGTTTCAAATAAAGCTGGACTAGTTGCTCTCAATTGATTTGTATTACGATCACTACATATTAACTAATATATAATAATTTTTAATTGAATCCAATCAGTGGTTTAAGAATGATCCACACATAGCAACCAAGACTCTTCTTCTATTTGGATGTAACATAAATTCAAATGTTACAGAATGAGATTGTCCAATATTTCAGCATCTCGAGTACATCTATATCATTGCAACTTTACATATAAAAGTGAACAAACAGCAGATTATGTGTTCAGACCCTTTGATAGAAGTAAAGGTATCCCAAGTTCTTTGGTGGGTTCTCAGACACGGCCACTTTTCTGTCATTATATATTACCCACCTGAAAAACAAACAACAAACAAGTGAGTGAACATTATGAATGGATGAATAGTTGTGATAGTGTTCAAGTGTAGTTTTTAATCAGAAAAAAGCAGAATTGTGTTTACATACCTTCCTTCTTTCAATATATGGCATACGTAATGTCCACATGCTGTTGATGTACCCATGTGGCTGATAAATGCAACCAGTTTGTATTCTGAAAATAAAGAGATAATTATACTGTGGTCAGTGTACCATAAAATCAAAAGCTTAGAAAGAACCCCTGTGTGCTGAAAGTATTAGAGGCATGAAAACAAGCCATGCATGGCACAGTCCCTGTTAGTTATTAAATCTAAGTTATATAATTATGTTTATAGTAATATAGTACAAGTACTTAAAACAAAATGGCTGCCAGTCGGCCATTTTTATCCCATCTGAAAAACAAGATGACATGCATTGGAACCCATGTCTGATGTATGAACCAAGTTTGGACAAAATCCATCCATAAACAACTGTGGATTATCTAAAAGCACCCATGTACCTAGTTTTATTAAAGTTTGATCAGCGGTACTCAAGATATCTGTGGAGCATCTATAAATTGATTAATTTATGCAAATTAGGTAATAAATAAGCACAAAAGAAACAAGTGTAAATACTTAAATTTAATATGCATATTAGGCTATTATTAAGCACAGAATTTCAGCCAAAAACTAATCAGGTCTGAGTACTATCCTAGAATATCTATGTATTAAGTTTCATTGACATCTGTTTAATAGTATATGAGAAACGTATATATAGTATATGAAAATGCTTAAAATTGTGATATGCCAAATTTCAATTAAAATCTAATCACGTCTGCGCATAATTCCAGAGCATCTATGTACCAAGTTCCATTGAAATCTGATAATTGGTTCATGAAATATCAGTGGAACACACACACACACACATACCCTCAGGGGAGTCGAACAGTTGCTGCAATGTAATTGCAATGTTTTATTGGGTAATAAAACTGACAATTACCTTGTATTCATCTACATCAATTAAATCACATTAACAGCAGAGGAATACCAAGTAATTATACTTACTCCCATTTCCATCTCGATATTGAGGACCTGGTGCTTCGGTTTCCATGGCAACTGATTCCAGTTCATCGGCATGGCTGAATATCCAATCAACAGCTCGTTCTACGTTATTGTTCTAAAAAGATGATAGAATAATTTTAACTTTCCAGTCAGAATACTGCAGTGCCATTCACTAAGTTTACCATTTGTCATATGATTATATTAATGCAAATACAAGTATTGGAAATGACACAGTTCTCATTGCTACTGTTTCAATGTGATCTCTTATGAGCTAAACACCTGACATGTCAGAGAATATATTGCATGTGAAAGGGAACAATTTCATGCAATTGCAGAAGAAAGCAATTACCTAATGAAATGTGTCATTTGAAGTTGGTGTGGTTAGAATGATGGTAGGCAATATCAGCAGAATGATGTAACAGATCTTGCTGGTGGTGTGACAGCCATTACAAAACATAATCCATTCATGTCTTCCATTATGACTGATACTTGACAGACATGTAAAAAATGAATGTACTTATGGATGAAATGATGTGAGATTTATGTGTATAGTTTGAAAGTGATCAGTCAAGGTATGTCAGAGATATGATCCTTAAACAGCATCCTCAAACAACAAAATGGCCACCAGTCAGCCATTTTGAATACAGTATGGATTCCAGAAATACTTGATTTTTGATGATTTTTTAGCACAAAAAACAACCACCTGTCAGTCATTTTGAGTCTGATCCAGAAAACAAAATATGTGCATTAAGGTCCCATAATGTCCAATGCATGTACCAAGTTTGAACAAAATCCATCTGTAAATATCTAAGATCCGGTTCTGGAATGTCAGAAATGCTTGATTTTGATGATTTTTCAGCACAAAAATGGCCGTCACTCGGTCATCTGGAATCAGACCGTGAAACAAATTGATGTGCATATGTATAATATTAGGTAAGATGTATGTGTGAAGTTTGAATGTAATCTGTTAGGCATGTCTAAGATATAGGTCCGACCACACACATGCACGGATGGATGGATGTAGGAACACACAATCCATAAGTCCCTGTTTTCGAACTTTGGCGAACGAGAACTAATAATGCCGTTGTGCACTCATATTTAAATATATATGTATGTTTTGCTGTTAATAAAACAAATTATGGACAATGTAGTCATAGCAGACGGCAAGCTAGTGATGATAAATGTGCAACAATTGTAATCAGAAATTCTGATGTTGGTTGGGAAAAATGTTAATATATGATGTCACAGGGTGATGGTCTCTATACTCTAGTCTCTCTGCTAAACAAAATTGTTCCACCTACAAACAGATTTGAATCTGTATGACATTTGTACTGTGAATGACAGCCAATCACAAACTCCCAGTACATACTGTTGAGTTGAGAGCCAATCACAAACTCCCAGTACATACCGTTGAGTTGAGAGCCAATCACAATCTCCCAGTACATACCATTGAGTTGTTGAGAGCCAATCACAAACTCCCAGTACATACCGTTGAATTGAGAGCCTTAATGGCTTGATCTCTAGTGAATCCCATTCCAGTAATCATCATGACACCTTCTTCGTTTACCGCCGGCTGGCTCGACTTTTTAGCTCCTCCTATCTGAAGGGGTACAGCAAAATCTACAAATAAGTGAGACAAAGAGCTGAAAGGATCAGATAAACGCAGCTTAACCATTACAAGAACACATCCACTCTCCAAATTAATGTTATTCTAACTATGTTGCATAGCCCAGTGACAACAAGTAGAAGGTTCTCAAACAGCATGTATGGTTAGTCATGTGTTTTAGTATCCAAACTATCCATTATCTGAAATTATATTAAACTTGTTCAGAATTTAGATATTTGAGGCTTGACTTGACACCTGCCATGTGTTCAAACATCCACTACATGGCAGCTTCTGAGCCCTGGTTATTTGTATGATAACACCTTTCTTACCTGCATCTGCCATGTGTTCAAACACCCACTGCATGGCAGCTTCTGAGCCCTGGTTATTTGTATGATAACACTTTTCTTACCTGCATCTGCCATGTGTTCAAACACCCACTGCATGGCAGCTTCTGAGCCCTGGTTATTTGTATGATAACACTTTTCTTACCTGCATCTGCCATGTGTTCAAACACCCACTGCATGGCAGCTTCTGAGCCTTGGTTATTTGTATGATAACACTTTTCTTACCTGCATCTGCCATGTGTTCAAACACCCACTGCATGGCAGCTTCTGAGCTCTGGTTATTTGTATGATCACACCTTTCTTACCTGCATCTGCCATGTGTTCAAACACCCACTGCATGGCAGCTTCTGAGCCCTGGTTATTTGTATGATAACACCTTTCTTACCTGCATCTGCCATGTGTTCAAACACCCACTGCATGGCAGCTTCTGAGCCCTGGTTATTTGTATGATAACACCTTTCTTACCTGCATCTGCCATGTGTTAAAACACCCACTGCATGGCAGCTTCTGAGCCCTGGTTATTTGTATGATAACACCTTTCTTACCTGCATCTGCCATGTGTTCAAACACCCACTGCATGGCAGCTTCTGAGGCTTGGTTATTTGTATGATAACACCTTTCTTACCTGCATCTGCCATGTGTTCAAACACCCACTGCATGGCAGCTTCGGAACCCTGGTTATTTGTATGATACACAGCTTTCCTGCAACCTTCTCTGTTGAATCCCATATCAACAAGTTGATTGACCACACCCTCATCAATCTCTGGCTCTGCAATGAAACAAGATGGTCAGTAACATATATAAACACAGTGCGCTTAGCATAACTTGTGAATTGTTTATTGACGTTCCCATCTTTGCTTTTATCCTGTAGTCCCTGGTTTATGGTCACTAGCGTCCACACCTTCTACATGTCCAACTTTAGTCAGCCAATCCACAAAGTCGATAGTTGAAATAGGATTATCTTGTCAATGCAATATTTTTACTATTTCAAAATCAATAATTTTCAATAAACACTTTATATTAAATATCACAGAACACATTGACACCAATAGATATAATATCAGAATTGTAATATGTTACTGGTATTGTGATATTATATCTCAGAATTGTAATACTTTACTGGTATTGTGATATAATATCAGAATTGTAATATGTTACTGGTATTGTGATATAATATCAGAATTGTAATACGTTACTGGTATTGTGATTATGATTAACAGTATTTTGTAATTACACACCCAGTTGTGGTGGCCCGTCACCTTCAGGAAGTTCTTTTTCATTTGATTGAAGTCCTTTACCACGTAATAAACTCAAATCTAACTCATCCGTGACATCTACACTAATATCTGAAATAAAGATTTTAATGAATGGTAAAAATATTTTCATTTGTTAATCACACATGTTAATAAAAAATTTATATATAATTATTTATATATAATCCCAAGATATTTCCTCTCAGGTTGATGTCATTAACAAAGTTTTGTATCAATCTGGGCTGTGAGTACCAACTGAAGTCAACCCCTGAATATGAATATACATGTATCTATTTTGAAGAAAATGAGTTGTATTTCAGGTGAAAGTCTTTCATGTGCTCGGTGATGATTCTTCTCATTCCTGACATTTCCTTTTATCAGTAATGTCAATTAATTTTAATTCACCGAGTGACTTGCATTATGAACTATTTTAACCAGAATCCATAGAAATGTCGAACTATGTGATATGCATTTTCTATCGATCCCGTATTGCGTCACACTGTGGAGATGCACATTATTCCAGTTGCATACTTATTCAAAGAATGAAATACATATATAAAATCCTTTTAGGGTTACTCTCTGAAATTTTTTATTTTATTATATCCAACTATGTTTTTATGTGAGTCAGAACCCCCCAGATAATAGATTCATTTAAAAGCAAGTCAGGACAAACTACCTAATTTCTTTGGAGTCCAATCTTCACTGAGTGTAAACTTTTTCAGTTGAATAACAAGACAATCTGGAAAAGTAGCCAGTTTTGTAATTCTGAAAAAGAATAATAAGTAAAATATATCACAACTGTGAATATTGAATTGAATTGAATTTTTTATTCAATTAATTTACAGGTAATATTGATAAAAGAATTCAATACAAACAACACTGAAATACATAGTGAATAGGAGGCTGGAAAATAGTGTTAAACACTAGTCGAGTCCACCCCCTTTTCTAGGTGAAAAACAAAGTACAATAATAAGTGGACACTAAAACAATTTACATACAACTCAATTATGCATACTGTAAAAATCTTTTCATTTCTTTTTTGAATGAATTTCTTGAGCTTATGGAACGAATTTTTTCTGGAAGTTTATTCCAGAGTTTGGCCCCAGCATATTGATTGAATGCTGTCCAGAATTAGTATGGTATTTTTTTAATATATTCTGATGTCTTCAATAATCACATGGATGATTGGTGTATCTTATCATTAATGCAAATATATTCTAACACAACAAATTGACATCTGTACAATAAACTCATAACCTGTATAGTTACTGTGAACATCTTAATTTTCACAGCCAAATTTGATTACAATTTCAGCATTATACAGTATCTATGAAGACAAAATTTCACTAAAGTCACCGAGACTCCATGTTGTGGAACCCCCAGAGGAATTTTCATGAGAGACGAGGACACAAATTGTTCAGATATTCTTAACACATTGCCTGATTTTTTTCCCCATTCACGGAGTCTTTCAGCAGGTGATGTGTTGAAAGGTTTTGGGAAGGTGATTATCAGTGAAAGTCCTGAAAAGACCAATTTGAAATACATGTACTAGAATTTGGAAATTGCATTACATCACAGTGAGCTATCATGTTTAAATCAGAGCATTTTAAAGACATGGCTTCAGAACTGCATTCATTAAAAACTAAATGCCCATCAGTTGGCTATTTTGAGTTTGATCTGAAAAACAAAATGATGTGCATCAAGTTCCCATAATGTTCAATTTACATACTAAGTTTGAATGAAATATGCCCATGCATGAAGAACTACAGAAATGCTTGATTTACACATTTCCTGCCATGTTTGTTATCATTTCAGTTATCAGAAGATGATGTGATAAAATGACAAGTATTCAACTGTCAGGAATCAGATTAAATGTGCACATTTGTGATGCAAATACACAACGTTTGAACATAATCAGTCAAGGCATATCAGAGATATAGCATCAGAATAGCCTTCAGTAAAACAAAATGGCCACCAGTCGGCCCTGCAGAATTACTGAGAAAATGGTGCACCTTGACGAGGAGTATTCCATTTATTTTTTATTTACCAAATAATTAATTAATGTATGTATTAATTATTTGTTGTGTACGAACAGCATTTTTGAGTGTGTGGATTTGATTCAGCAAGAGATATTGTAAACTATGTTGAAAAAGCGGCATGCAATTTTAGCGAATTGTGGTAAAATGTCGCAATAGCGAAATGTTGAATTAGCGAATCAGTTCCCTCACTAAATTCGTGAAAAAGACATGCTCGCAAAAAAGACATGTTTTACAGTAGTGTATGAATCACATGTACACAATTGTTACAGGCAAAGGTATGTGCTTGTAGAACAAATGGTACTTACTTGGAGGCAATAGACTTTGCTTGCAAAGCCGAACTATAAAAGTCATCAACAATTTCGGGAGCACTGAAAGCATCAAGACAAGCTGATAATGGAATTCGGGGCCGTACTATTTCGTCATTTTTCAACACCATTTTCTTTTCTTCATATTCTTTCTTTTTCACTTGAAATGCTGCTACCTCATCTATCAAAGACCACCAGAACAATCAGAAAACTTATAATATACAATTTGTTTCAATACCGGTATTTCAAATTAGTCTGAAAAAAAAAATCCAACTAGATGCTCTTTTCAGCTCAGATAAATAAAACACATATAGGCTGTATAATATTAATTAATATTATACATCTGTCAATGTGATGCCATAAGTTACAGCGTGTCGTAATTTTGCAGTATTTTACAGGGTATTTTCATCCTACCATATTAGGAAATGCGAATGATAATGCGCCTAAGCATATTAAAAACAAACATGGCTGCCACCAGGGTTTGACCAGATTCCACACAAAGCAGTTTGCTGATTCTGTTCTAAAGTTTTTGGATTTCGGCATTCTCATGATGTATCCTTGGAAGGAAATGATGTATAATAATAAGGTTATTACAAGGATACTTCACAGTATGCACTCAGACAGTACACCATCGCATAGGACATCGGTCGATAATCCTGTTGGACTGTCTTCGTGCATACTTTGAGGTATCTTCATAATAACCTCATAGTATGTACTACCAATTTTCACAGTACTGATTAGGCTCACTTCCAAGTGGATGCAATTTGATTTCTTTCTCAGTCACTCTGGATTTACAAATATTGTTGTCACTGAAGAAAATCTAAAAGTCACATTCACCCACAAAGCGTCTAAAACATAAATCAGACAAATATGAAAATAAGTCTTGATTTCAGTTTTAATATAATATAATTATGTATTTTTTTTTTCCAAATCATGTTTACACACAAACCCTAACATAACTGTAAATGTTCATTGCTTTTCTAGTAGCACATACACTAACATAAATTGCAGATGAGTGTTCATGGTCAACATAATATAAATAATAGCAATTTTTAGTTTAAGCAAATATGGTACATGGTATTAGAAATTTAGTTTTATGTGTAGCTGGAATTGGCAATGCTAGCAGGTACATGTAGTCATCGTGATTTTTTAAAATTGTTTGACTGAACACACTGTATTCGTCATCCCAGTTTTCATAGCACACTTGACATGACTGAACACACTGTATTCGTCATCCCAGTTTTCATAGCACACTTGACATGACTGAACACACTGTATTCGTCATCCCAGTTTTCATAGCACACTTGACATGACTGAACACACTGTATTCGTCATCCCAGTTTTCATAGCACACTTGACATGACTGAACACACTGTATTCGTCATCCCAGTTTTCATAGCACACTTGACATGACTGAACACACTGTATTCGTCATCCCAGTTTTCATAGCACACTTGACATGACTGAACACACTGTATTCGTCATCCCAGTTTTCATAGCACACTTGACATGACTGAACACACTGTATTCGCCATCCCAGTTTTCATAGCACACTTGACATGACTGAACACACTGTATTCGTCATCCCAGTTTTCATAGCACACTTGACATGACTGAACACACTTGTGTTTGTCACTATACGTTATCTTTAAAACTGTACCTTTATTTGTAGCTGCTTCCATTGGAATTGGCAATGCTAGCAGGTAGTCATCGCGTTTTTTATAACGTACTTGACCTGACTGAACACACTGTATTCGTTCCTCCACCTGGTATTTAAAACAGTCACATGGGTTCTGAGCTCCCCTGCTGTTCCTCTGGTTCAAATAAAGTATGCATTGTGATTATTCTACATGTAATTCAGCTAATCATTATGTTACACAACAAAATAGGTAGACTGTTGACAGTTCTCGGGCGTAATAAAGAGTCACTTATTTTCAAGCGCCGTAGATGTTTTAACGAAATGCCAAAGACATTTCAAGCGAGAGCTGTAAGACCCGGAAGACTGTTATAGCATGTAACACCAACATGCGGCATTACGTTGAAATTGCCCGGTGACGTTGCTGCTTGTATTGTTGTCCTTACAGCAATAACTTTTATTATCAAATGAGTACATTGTAGCTGCGGTTTCCTACTGTTTGAGTTGAGGTATATTTTGCAATATTCAATTCACACCAGATGATATCTGGTTATTTTTTGACCCAGTTTACAGCATACAGGGTGCAACTCCAAATTCACAAAAGACATTTTGCTGCAAGCTTGTTGGTGTTGATCACTTTGTAGCAACAGGTGACCATTAGCAATAATCAGACAATAGTCATTTTTGGCAAAGAACCACTGTTAAAAGTGAAGTAAAGAGAATGACATCGTGTTTACTCTAAAATGTTATTACGATGGTTTTTTGTGTGAAAGAAAACAAAAGTTGATTATAAGCCAGTCAATTTTTCTACTTACTTCTATTAGACTGATGAGATGAAGGAAGAATTCTTGTGCGTCTTGTTGCCTGTTTGTAGCAAATTCCGGATGTCCCCTGCCAACAAGCGATTTAAACATACGGGGAGTAATCCCTTCTTGTAACTGCAAAAGCATATTTGAAATAAGTGGTACAAAAAGAATAAAAGAAATTACAGTATAGTTGCTAGTATATTTATTCTTATGTTGTTCTATTTGCTGCGACTAGTTTTAGAAGATTTTCCTAACTTCATAATTTTAGCAAGGTTCAGAAATTTGGTATGTAGTGTATGTAGTTATTTTGTGCCAAAAATAGGACAGGAATGAGTTACTTGAAAACTAAACATGGAAGAATGGTATGTAAAATAGAAAAATAACATTTGTTCACATTATTGAACCAGCAGTTTTTTTATTTACCACATTTTTTAAGAGAATCAAGTGAATCTCAAAAAAATTAGTTGGTTAGATATGTCGGTAGAGACAAAATAACAGACACCAAATTTAACGCATGCCTTGCAGAGAAAATAATAAGTCTGAAAAACATTACAACATTTGTTGTAACTTTTAAATTTACAAAAATTTGACCAATATGGTATTAAAGGACGACCATCAAAGAAATGTGTGTTTGATACAGGCCAACACAATGCATGCATGTATAAACAACACAATTGTTTATTTGAACATGGCAGTCATCAAACCACCTGCCCTTCAACAACAGTGGTAAAGGTGTCTTACCGGTAGTATGATAATAAAAATACCTTATCTACATCAGCATCTCCGTCTGAAGATGGTTTCTTTGAATAAACACCTGACAACAAACCAGCACCCAATTTGGCACTGAAATATATGACAAAAACATTTAAATGCAATCATTTCAATTGTAAATCGACTTATACAAATTACATGCATAATACATAGACACTGATTGAGTTCTCTCCACATCCTAATACAATGTTAAAATGTTAGAATATCAGGAAAATAAGCTGTATTAATAGTTATCAATTTCCCAGGAAAACACCACATCATGTATTAAAACGAGCATTTTAAGCACTATGTTAATTATGACTACCGGTATTATCTAATGTAATAACAAATTTACCAATACTTGAGCAAAAAATTGATACACATCTTGATCAATGTCTTGTTTATCAGTTTTCAAAAGTGCAAAAGAAACACTTATGGTGTTATGTCTGAACATGCCCATTTCAAATCAGTCCTTGTTTGTCTCCACAATAATATGTTTATAGGTTGAAACTGAAAATGTTTGGTGGACAGTGAGAGATGGGGAATTGCTTATCATGTATACAAAAATTAGGACAGCATGTGAATATGGAGAGTTATTGGTAAATAGATAGAGTGGACATTTACGTCATGAAATGTCTTCCCCTCAAAATGAATAGTTACTGCTGTGGTAGAAAGTATAAAAGGAAAGGGCCTCTCAGTGCTGCTATATTGAGCATGGAGTTGACAAATTCACAAATATTAATATTTACTGATGTTGAGGTCAATATTGAGTTGCAATGGATAGGAAATTAATGCCTGAATCGCAGTCCGGGTCAATAATTCTTCTGAGGGTCATTAAAACTGAATATTGACTGATAATGAGGAAACTATCATAATGCCTTATTATAATACTGAATGTTGGAGTCTGTTGTAGACACTACATTTTGTAAACATCTACGCATGCTAAACTGGGTCAATAATATGTTACTGTCATGTGACCATATTCTAACCAATCAGTGATCTTGAGGTATAATACATGAGGTATAATACATGACGTCACTCACTTACATTTGTGTGTTGAAATCACGACTTGGATCATCCGGAGTCTGATTGAAGATAAGTTCACAACCATTCGCATACCTGGAATGCAACAAATTAAAAAGGTTGATATGGTTCTGAATTTTGTCATCTGGTGTCAGCCGATAAATAAGTGACCTATATATAAAATCAGTTTGGAATACAATACAGTTTCTTCAAACAAGTTTTGAATTCCTTCTCACATAATAAAATTGAGGGTAAATTATGTGAATTGAAAGACAAACACAGATAGAAAGAGAATAATGACAAACCTGTTAATGAAATCGGGAGTGGAAAACAGCACCTGTATCACCGAGTTCAAATAACAGCTACAACAAAACACAATGTATGAATGAGAATGCATATACATGTACCGGGTAAACAAGAGACATGTGGGTGTTTATATAAACGATATACATATATGTGAATTGTATCAAACACAGCAAGGTTACTAACATTTTAATAGTAAAGCGGATAGCATTCACCAATTATTTCGCAATGAGGCTCTACTTAAGGTATACATGCAGGTTCGTGGACACTTGGAGTGAATCATGCGTATGTGATTAAAAGTCCTGAAAGTCTGTTTATGTTCTTTGATTGACAAGTCACTGTTGATGATATATGCAAATGAGTTGCTAGCCTCAGTATGGTGCGGTGGTGTGACTTCCTGTCCTGGCTCCCTGTTTACTTACCTAATCAACAAGTAATTTAGAACTGAAGATATCATTAGAAAATGAACAGTATGTATAGTAGCAAAGCAATCAGACGAGTGGTTTTTAACAAGAAGTCAAAAATATCACTTTTTACCAAAAATGACAAAAAATATTCATCAAAATCAGAGAGTTAAAGATATTATCACGAAATGAACAAATCTGAGAGAGGTCCACATGTACCGGATTCTGCCGTAAATTCGCCCATCCGAAAAATCGCCCTGGGCGGTTTCACGGCTGGTGGGGCCCTTATTTGGGGTTCAAATTTTCAAAAAATTATCATCAAATATTTTTAGGGGGCTTATACTTTCATTGAAAAATCCACCTACGCCGATTTTCAACACCGGCAGTTGGACCACCCAAAAGAAACTACATGTATTGTAGAAGCTATTAAATCTAAAATTGTATACATTTTTTTCTAGCTGGATTAATAAGTAGACCGCGCATCTTTCTCCAATAAAATCACATTAACGAACATCATGCGCCAAATACAATTATTTTGTTTCATTTTATTAGTACCGAAAGTATATTCTAAAAATTAATATTCGCCATGTATTGACCTGACAGGTCAAATGGATAATTAACCAATGAAAATGATGGACGATACCAACGTGTTCAAAATACCATAGCTCATTTAAATATGTTAATGTTATTGAACCCAGCATACATCGGTGTATGGTAGATTTGGGCATTCAGTTGATAATAAATTTTAACCTATACTATTATCGTTTTGTAAAAATTTAAATACAGTGCATAATATGGAGATTCCGCCATTACTTTTTTCACCATGTATCTTTCTTTATTATTTATGTACAGCCTTGCTGAATCTTGCTAAGCATTCTAACAAAAGAATGTTTGTACCAGCTTTCCATATTTTAAAATCGTTTTTGGAGTATGTTCCACTACTCACAATGCTCGAAATTTTAACAGTCTATAGCCAAGACTGTGTGGGTAATAAAAAGCAAAAAAAAAAATGTCACTCCCAAGTGTCCATGAACCTGCATGTACATGTATACCTTAAGGGATAACTGTTGGCAGAACTGTGCATATACCTATTTTACAGTACTATCTTTTGTTGTGTAAACTATACAAAGTTCAAAACATAAATATTGATCACAGCCGAGGTTCATGGTCATACATGTAATACTACTACTTTATCATCACAAAAAATCATTTAACACTGACTAATCACATTGCATAATTTTGACAACTGTTTGAAATAACTACTGTAGCTTCCCTTTTACTGATTTCAGTGTTCTCCCCAGCATTCAATTTGTGTGCGGGGCCGCCACGCTGCTTTTCCTGCCCGCCACGGTGATTAGTAAGACCGCCACAGTGCTTTTTTCATTGTTCATCCCGTAAACTGTTTTACGAAATATAAAAAGAAATACGTAGCTATCAGGGATCTTGCCACGCTTCCGACCAGGACTATTGTCCGACGTACCGACCGACACGCATCCTGCCAGTCGTGGATTATATTTGTA